GATGAGTAGTGTATGATGAGTGGTGTGTGATGAGTGGTGTATGATGAGTGGTGTATGATGAGTGGTGGTTGAACAGCTGTTGAATGTCCGTAACACGGAAGTTTTGCACACTAAACTTCCTTTGACAATACCCCCAGTCCCGGGACTTCCACAGAACTTCCTCCGCCCGCGCCTTCTGCAGTCCTAAGCCCAAGGGGTTCCGCTGCGGCGCTTTGGTTGGCGCCTCCGAGCCGCCCACGCACACCTGCTTGATGGCCAAGAGGTAGCGCTCCTGGCCGCGGAACCCGCGCAGCGGAACCGAGAAGGAGAAGCACTGGCAGTCGCTCCAGTGGAGAGTTGGACTCCAGTCTGCTGGGGAGGGCGGCAACAGCTGATTCCCTGCCCTTGTTGGTATAAAGGACTTCCTTTTCGGATTAGGTACGAAGTTCAGAAGGACTCCAGTGCATATCGGATGATACCGGGTGGAGCTTGGATGGGCCAATGGATGAGAATTGAGAGGCCTATTTTGGGTGATTGAGATTCCATGGCCTACGCCTCCCAAAAGAACTGACCTTTCAAACAACATTGTCGCTTTGAAACTTGGGAAGTTTGGCGGATGAAGTTGGGTCGATGCTCATCATCGTTGCTCTGGGGTGAGCCAACGTTTAGCATGAGCCATGTAACCATGGCTCATCTTTGTGCGACCAAGTGCCCAACATTAGGCGCACACACACGCATAAAACAAACCATGAGTCCACAACATCGATTCATAAGCAACACCAATGTTCAGTGTGAAGGCGATTTAAGTATTTTAATATATTTTAATGATTGACATGATTTCGATTCAAAAACGAAACTCTTTTTGACCCATGTGGACATCCCTACCCATTTATTTGAGATGCTTTATGCCAGTATTGTTCGGCCCGGCGCTCCATCGAGGCCCGGCGCTTCTCTGCGGTGTTGTGCACGTTGACGGCGCGCCAGCGTCGGGTGGTCTGTCCGTTGAGAAAGCGGGTGTACTGCCTGACCAAGGTGGTGAGGAGGTGAAGTGAGTGCAGCAAAGCAACCGTGCCTGGGGTATGTTGGGATAGTCGAACGTGCTAGGGTTCTTCAACCTCCGTTGGTAGATGGCCCAGGCTTCCAATAGGATTATTGGTTCCGGGATGTTCCGGGTGTATTTGAGGTTGCGCTTTCCAAGAAGAATGTTGTTCACAGATCTGTTCGCATGGGATGGGTGGCTCGGCCGCTTTCCGCGCTACCTGATCACTCCCCATCTCTCCCTCTCTCTCTCTAAAGGAGTCAATGAATGCAGGAGAGTTAGGGAGGTGGTGCTCTACAAATGATGAAGCCAATGCAGCTTCTGGCAGAAGCCAGCCCGGGCGGAAGGCCTCCGCACCAGTCGTTTTGGTTCTCGGCCGAGTGGCCAAATGTAGATCATGAACATGGTCTCTGCCAAAGACCAGCTAATCAGGCCATATTTCACCAGCACTCGTGGATGGAAGTGGTGGGGGCTCACGTTCATCCACAAATTTCTCAGCCTCCACGCGGGCCGATTCGCGCACGAGTCTTACGTAGGGTGAAAGGCTGTTTCCGTTTCCTTCATCCACATGGAGGAGGGGTCCCCATCTCGAAGGAATTCCCAGGCAGAACCCCTGATAGGCATGGGTTTTGGGACTATTTTGATTTCGTTTTTAAAGTGCACCTTGAAAATTGCAGATCGGTCACCGTTTTCCCTAACAAAATAACTTCGACCTCGAGTCAGGGAAGATCGTTGAACTCTGCTGACTGGGAGGTTTTTTCTGGCCTGACTGGGACCTATGACCATAAATAATACATATTGTTCACTATTGGATTTCTCAAAATGCAATCTACAACAAATCAGGTCTGCATGGTTTTGCCACACCAACAACTGGGCCACATCGGGGGCACTCCAACCGGCAAACCACCATGCGCCTCGACCACAGCAGTTGCAAGGTCATGAACTTACAGAGTCGAAGAGAAAAGAACGAGACTGCTTTTGAAAAGGTCGAACGTGCGAATGAGACTTTTGCGGTATATAGATGTTGCAAGCCACGCAAGCCAAATGAATTCTCTAGCAGAAGTTCCACCAAAATCACCTGCAGTGAACTGCTGCTCCACCTGCCACTTGCCCACTGCCAAACAGACCGCCTTCCCAAACACACCGCCTTCCCAAAAAACACTGCCTTCCAACCAATCAGGCAGGTGGCAGCACAGAGACCGCCATTGGTGTGGACACACGCAACGCCAAGATCACCAGCTGCACCAGGAGACGTCGCAAGGGACTTTCACGGCTCATGGCCTCGCTTGACGTGCCGGCTTGCGCCGTGTGAGGACAGTCCCCAGAGTCAGTTTGTGCCTCACTACGGAATGTGGCGCCCCGTAGGCTGCATGGTTTGCTATTGAAACAGATCTGGCACAAATGCCCGTGTCCCGCACCATTGTTGTTTCAAAAGCATCATCCTGAAAAGCCTATTTTTTCCTCCACCCGCCATGGACCAGGCCCGAAGGCAACTGTCCTCAACCCAAAAAATGGTCTCCTTTTGACGCCAAGAACCATCTGATTTCGTGTTGCACTGAGGTGTTCCACGTTCCAACCACGTTCTACCTCTTTCTCGGACTCCATCTCCACTAGCTTTTCGGTGCCCAGCGACCCCCAACAGCGGCAAGGCGACCAACGCCAGTGCTCCACGGGGTGGCGAGGCCAATGCCTCTGTGCTGCGAACCGGCGCGGCCGCACACTGCGGTATATCATACCAGGGCCCAGCGGCGCGGAGGATGGGGCCTAGTTGCAGGCCTTGTTCTATAGACTGTCACAGGCTTCCTGGGGCAAACCCAACATTTAGTGAAGGCCTTCACCTGTGGACGGCCAACGACGCGAAAGAATCCATACTCAATTCGATCCAAGCCTTCACCGAGTCATGTGTGAATTCGACTCACGCGCATGGACCATAGTCGTGTTGTTGCGTTGTAAGCTTGTGGGCCATATGTCCCATGGATCGTCGAACAAATATAACGATCAACACGTTCTTAATAAGTCAGTCTCCTTAAGTCTCCCAAAGGACCCTAGTGGTTCCACTATAGCTCACTGGGAGTCCCATGCAGTGGTTCCAGCTCGACTCAAACCGACCGAACGCATCGGTGACGCCCTTGGCGCCTGCGGCCATCCACGTGGAAGTCCACCAGGAGTCATCATGGTGTCAAGTGAGGTCACCAAAGAGGGAAGGTAGGTCAAAACGTCTTAAAGAGTTGTCAGTGCAGTATAAAGGAGTTCCAAGATCTTTGTCTGACATACTTAGGAGGTGAGTGGTAAAAGGATGTTTGAAGGCCCTGGGCCCTGGGGAGCTATTTGGGTCCAAAGGAGTCGGTTTCACATCCAATATGTCTTGAGATGTCTTGAGAGAGGCCGAATACGTCCAGCTAAACTTGTCGTGTTGTGGGCACTTTTGGGGCACATCTTCGAGTGGATTGGCTTGATCCTCATTCTCCTGTCCATTGAAAACATCATCGAACAGCCCATCGCTATGTCGCTGGACAAAGGTGTGTGCTCAAAGACTCAAAGCTCTCCATCATGTCCTGCCTCTCTCTGTTCCTCTTTTACTGTTGCCAGCCAAATGTTCCCGACGCGCGCAGTTGAACCCCCCGTGGTCGCGTAGGTCACCCAGTGCTGCAAGCCTTTCCCCGTTGGCAGCGTGTTGGTTCCGATTTCTGCATTCTACATAAGACCTGAGTGATGGTAATTCCAAAAGTTTCCAAACGCCTCCAAAAGCCAAATCCAGTTCGCAGTTCGATGCCGAAACCACTCGCGACACGTGGCCGGAGTCCTCACGAACCCGCCACCAGTGACGTTTTTTCATCCTTCAGACGAGCTGTTTCGCCTTTGCATCTCGGCAGCTGTGGCTCAAATGGAATGACAGTTGCCACTGGCAGACGATGAACTGTGCAAAATCCACGAACTCACGAGCAGCCACGGCCCCGGCGTTCAACAAACATGCATTCACGGAAGTAACAGGTTCTATGAACTCTGGTCCACACTGGGCCTGTCCCACTTCTAAGCGTAGGCAACTTGTATTCAACCATAAGGTATCCAAACATCGCGTACATGTCAAACCACCACATTCGTCCTCATCGACTCCTGTCACCTTTCGTTTGAGCCACAGGGCTTCCTACCACCCGTGCCACCCTGCAGGGGAAGCTTCCTGGGCACGGCCTTCCCACACGGCTTCGGTGGGAAAGGCCGCCCGCAAGCGCCGCAAGCGCTGGCGGAGGGCGACCACGTCGCCCGTCTTGGAAGTTCTATAATCGGTTCTACAACCGTCGTTCACTGTTGAATCACTTCTGAAAGCCTCCCCGGGAAAATCTCTATCAAAAGCCTCAACTCAGGTTTCACCTGGCCCTCCAAATCCTGAATCCTCTCATTTGCTCGTTGAGTTTGTTGTTTTCAGACTCTCTTCATGTCTTCATGTTCCTGCAGTTGGAGTAATAAAAGTCAATCCGCATGCGAGACCTATGTTCTGACTCGATGCAAACAAAGAATTGCCCTGTTCCACCCATTTCAGGCGTGCCAATGATGGACGGCTCAACTTGCAGTCTTCTACTCATATGAGACACAGCCAACTCTGGTGCAAAGAAGTTCTGATCAGCTTCCAAGGCCATCCATTTGAATTAGTTCTGACAATCCGACCGGTCTGCACACCATGCTGCCGGTCTGGCGGTCCGTAGCACATTGAAAGATCTGAGTAAAGGAAGGGGGCTTGGCAGACACTCCAGTCGACACTCCATGGGACTGGCATATTTTTACCCCCATTCACCCCTGAAACCACCCCAATAAGCAAATGATGCCCCTGAACTAAGTGTATGTATATCCTCTCATGCTTCCTGCCTCCACGCAAAAACGCCAAGACCCCAGCGAAGAAAAATGCCACCGAAGACATGGATTTTGTTGAAGAAACAATTGGTGTACATTTCCTAGGATCAGCCTGTGCATTTGCGGCCCTCCATGGTGCGCAGTTTCCACAGGTGGCGGGGACTCCACATATCGCTGGGCCATTGGTGCCGGAGGATTGGCGGGGAATGAGCGGGCCTGATATGTGTGTTGTTGCACCTCTGGGGTTTCACACTCCTTGGAATGATCATGGTTGGCATGGATGACATGGCAAGATGATGTCCAATCCTCGAGAAAGCTCCACTTATTCCATGGTTATTTTGATATTTGAGGGACTGTACCAATTCTTTGGGCGCCTGACATGTCTCCGCGTCGCGGCAAACACAAAAAACACTAACGGGCTGATGGATTTGCGAGATTGAGTGGAAGTAGGGGTCCGGTTTCGTCCTTCAACTCGTGGCATCCCACCTCCAAAGTGGCCAAGATCCGTCTGAATGTAGCTCGATGATCGGCACTCATCACCTTTTTTCTGAAGCTCCGGTTTCAGCGGGAAACTCTAAATGGACCCCCTGCTTCATCTGGAACCATTGGAAAGATATCCTAAGTTTTTGCCCCAATTCTGCTTCAATCCTCCGACTGGATCACTAAACAGGGCCGAAGCGCACGGTGGAGCGAGCCAGGTTCGCTTCGCCCGTGGACGCGCGTGCGTCCACGCACGGACACGCGTGCGTCGAGCGCGGTGCACATGAAAATGGAAGAATGGGGTATCAAATTGGGTCGATCCAGGTGATTGATGAGTCTCATCACCTTTCCAGGTGGATCGTCCTCATCTTTCCAGGTCAAGAATGGAGCCTCTTTCCTTTGCATGCGTGAAAGGTGAGGTGTTGACAACCGGACGTGAGGAAAAAACAACAACCGTTTTTCAGTGGGTGGGATAGGCCCTTGAGGTCTTCTCGCTGCTACCTGATTGGTGCGCCCATGGAAGAATGTCATTACTTCTTTCCTGTGAAGATATGGATCCCTTGGGCCCCTTCAGAAAAAGGGTCTCACATCATCAACTCCATCTCAAAGCCCTCCATCGACTCCATCGTTTATCTGGAATTCTCCCATCTCCATGTTCATCCCAAGTTTGCCCCATTTGGGCTGTGGGGCACCTCCAGCGCAAGGTGACGCCCATCTGTGACGCCCATCACCATGGTATCGGGACAGTGTTTGATCATGTTTCATCCAAAGCTTGGCATCGGTCATGAAAGGAATTGTTAGATTGGTTGTTGAAACCATGCGAACCAGCTCAGTCAGTGGTTTCTTGGCGTCGTTGTGCGATCCTCACCGTGTAGGTCTCATGGAAGCCATGCGATTCGGTGGTGCAACGCAAAGATCCACGAACTCTTGTTTTAGGGCAAATCACCGACAGTTTTGCTGGTCACATCTAAGGCGACAGCAGCTGGAGCAAAAAAGGTTGATGTTTCAAACAGCATTTGGAGACGCAGCCAGTTGGTCTAACATGCGAGGACTCAGCACCAAATCCCATGCGCAGAACCTTCACCAAATAGACCCGGGAACAAGAAGTTCTACATGTTGTTGGTGCCTTGTCTGGCGAGTTTGGGTGGCACCCCTTTGTTGGCATAGCCACATGCAGGGATGGGTTGAGTGCGCCGAACCTTGGCAGCCAAGACCACCCAGTTCCAATGCCCATTCAATCATAAACATAAATTTCAAAACATACAGCCCTAGGCTTCCAACCACTATTAAATTAATAGGCTTTACCAAATCAACTAGGGATTTTACACTACAAAAACCAGGTCAACCATTTTCTAATGGTCTTGGAAGTCTAGGGTAGTAAACATCAGAAGAATGGGAGGTGGGGGTCTATCATGGCCACACTCATGGCCACCCTTCTGCTCAACGTGGCTGGCACTCTCCATTGACCGCCGTGAGCTTTCAAACTCCGGAGGTCATGGTGACCCGTAGTCGCGAGGCTGAAAGCCTTCAGCGTCGAAAGACCTCGGATGGGGTGGGACAGTCGGTGTGTCAATCGAGTTTTTCTGCATTGGATTGGATGGGACCCAGATGTGCTTGCAGGCATCCACCATGGAGGTTAAATACTGCGTGTGTGTTTTGTTTTTTTGGGGGGGGGATCATGGTCAAATGGAGCACATCGGAAGTTCAACGCCTTTATTCTAACTCTTCTAAAGCCCAAAAAGCATGACCAGGAGGATGAGTTTCCGGAGGACTTGACTGGGAGGGGCGATGCATTTGACGGACCATGGTCACGCAGCTGAGTTCTGCGGGTTCGCATTCTTACTCAACCACTGGGACCACATGAGGATGCATCGATACGGATGCCACCCTCAGGGCGACATTCTGGAAAAGGTGCGTGGACACGCAGTGCCTTTCTTTGGGGTTCTCGTGCATAGCTGCATTATGAACCAATTACAGTAATGACCACCGCTTTTGATGAATGGAGCCCACAAGCAGTGAAGTGAGATCAAACCTCCCTCGATAGAACCAGGCAGCAAACCCCGACTGACCGGAAGCAGCCTTTTCACGAACGAACCAGGCCGCCCCACGCCGTCACCCTGCGCCCATCGCAGGGCTTGACGGAGAGCAGCCTGCGACGGAGCGGACGCTCCAAAAAAAGCCTCACCTGCCAACTGCCACATGTCGGGGTGACAGGGGCACCCCGACTTCCTCCGTTCGGCACTGTGACTGCTGGTGTGCTATATGTCGCCTTCCGCGACTTGCAGGTGCGTCTCGACCGATCTGAAGCTCACACCTGGAGCACCGGCCGCCGCGGTGGCCATGGCTTGGTCACGCCCTCCGGCCAGGCCTGGCATTGGCAGCTCCACTCCGAAACGGGCATCTTGACCATTCACACGATGGCTCTGACATCTGCTGGGTACCAGGTAGATGGCCTCCGACCTAAGGCCGCGTCCTTGCTACTAGCTTCAAAGACATACTAGAGCTTCATTGTTACTTACATGGCGGGGCAAACACACACGATGGCTCTGACCCATGACCTTTGGTCATCGTGTGTGGGTTGTATGTTTCTTTTGCTAGAGGCAGTTGGGGTAGCTCATGGTGTGTCCAAGACGTAAGGAACACGAATTTGAGAGGAGGTCCATCGATTTGACGCCACGTAGGGCGTGGTCTTGAGATCTTTTGAGTCTCCTAACAAGCTCACAAGAATCCTTGATCTCTATAGCTCCCCTTGTTTTGAAGACACGAGTTGTTCGCAAGTGAACGTTTGGTCATTTGGTCAACACACTTGCGACTGCACCCCCACCTGCATGTACTATATATACACAAAGGAGGTCACGCCCATGGGCGGTGGTTCCAGCATCTT